AATTTAAGTTACAATTAATCATAGTAATTATAACTAATTGCGATTCCCTGTAATAATTGCAACTAATTGCAACATGCAGTTAATTAAGTTAATAATATTATAACATTCAATTAATTTTTTATTCGTTGCAACATAATAAAATAATTGTTATTACCATCTTGAATTATAAATAGTTTTTAAAAAAGATCAAGAAAGACGAGTGATATAAGTCTTCCTTCACATGAAGCTGGAAGATTACGCAAAAATAATAGTACAAATTTCTAAAAATATTTCTTTAGATTAGTTATTCTAACATACCATATTTGTATTTTATTTTTCATATATCAATAAAGTGATCCTGGTTACCGATTATTTGTACATATTCATCTGTATTTTTGTTTGTGTGAAATATTAATATATAAAACATAAATAATACTATATTATGCAAGCATTGCAATCTGAAATAGATGACCGATTCATTAAAACAATGCATTGTTAAGCTTAAGGTTACGAATGATAAAATTAGGGCTGAGAATGTTGAGCTTAAGGCTAGAGTTACAAAATTGAAAGATAAGCAATTGCAAAATGAACTAATAAAAAATTTAATATTTGTATCACGTGATATAAAAACCGTTAACAATCAACTTCACATGATTTTTTTTTACTGACAAATAACCAAGATGTCACATGAAATTCTTTACACACAAACTTTTTTGCACAAATTATATTTAATAAAATGTTCCATTCTGACTATAAACATATTATCAATAGACTTTCTGAAAGCCTTGTCAAGAGAGCATATGAGAGACTTTTATATTATTCTAAAGATCCTGTCCCGTTAGAATCTATTTCCAAAAAGTCTGAATAAATTGAATCTTATTGAGATACATATTAGAGGTTTATGAGAATTTATTAAATAGGAAATGCAAATCTATGGTTCAGACAAAATTATTATGCCCTCGAAGCTGGCCAGAATATAATGTATTCTCAGCATCACTGGCTATATATGTTACTGACATTGGAGTCCAAATCGATAATGTCAACTGGCCAGAGACGCTAAAGCATAATTATGAGGAAGAAAACAATCACCGGATCATGAATGAACTTAATATGTTCTATCAGCATTTGCTTGATTATAATAAAAGAACTTTCAAAAAATTCATGCAAGAACTAGAAAGGGAATATAGAGAGTGGATTAGTATGAATAAAAAATTGCAATGTGAAAATAAGGATTTGAAGATGCAGTTACAGGAGGCGGAAAAAGAGCTGGCATCTATAAAGTCGAATTCTATTCATTAGTGAGAATTTGATTCCAATCGACCCATATCCTATGTGAATGCTCACGAGGTATGTTTAGATTGAAAACAATGAATTTTTTCTCACATAATGCTTTATCAATAATCTTAATCACACTATGCCAGTCATTAGCATATTGACGCATAATGTTAACTAGCTCATCTGTAATGCATGATCCATTAAATAGGCAGATATATGTGAGATTTTTTCATATTATTTTTGGGCAACCAAAGTAACTCTGGGATACATATATTAAACTGACATTATAATAGCGCCTTTCGATAAAATAAGGAATAATTTTCTCTTGCACTTTCTTTGGATCGGCACATATATCTTCAAATATAGCTACTGTACCCCTGTCTGGAGAAAATAAATCTACCTTAGAGATCTTATCAGGCTTCAAAGCCCGGAATGTAATATTTTCACAATATGGCTTTGGACTATTAGCAATTATCTGGAATGCCATTTTGAGATACATATATTTCGGCTCTTTGAGTTGGTGGCCGATGAGTAATAAATCATCATTCTTAATATAGTGTATCCCTTCTTTCTTTCCATTAAATATTAGATAAAGCTTAGTTCTGAGCATGAGATTAAGAACCTCATTAGTTTTTCCTGAATTGGTACGGCCAAAGATGCCCAAAGTGAAAGGCCATTAGAGGACACTCAAATGTCTGTTATATTTTTTGGCATCTTTAATCTCATTGATGTGATATACGAGCCTATCAACTGGTTTAAGTTTATTTATTTTCATATCAAATGGAGTATTATTAATGATGTTTCTAAATAATTCCTTTTAATTCTTCGCCTCTTTCAAGAACCCTTTTTCGATTAGAGTATGTCTGATATAGGACAGGAGATCAGCTATATAGGGAACTTCGATAAGACATATACCTTGCTCCTTGCATATATCTCACTTCTTCTGATCACGCATTCTCTGTTCATCCAAATCTATATGGCCTCTCCTATGAAACATTGAATTAAGACTATAGTGTTGCTGACCATGGAATTTGAATGCTAGTTGTAGTTCTTCATTATATCCATCGAGTTGCATTCCATCCAAAAAGTTTAGCCTGTGTGATAGAAATTTCTTGCTTATTAGATCCTCAAAAATATATCATCATTGGCGTTCACCATTTCTATGTTGACAAAGAGGACACTATTCGAATTTTTCATAATATACTTTAATGGATACTCCCATTGATGTGCACTATTTTCACAAGACCAAAGGTATATATCATGACCATTTGTTTGCCCGGTCTTTCTAAGACATTAACCACCACGTTGAGAGGCATATTCATGTACTTTTATTAGCATATTATCGGCAATTTGAGTAAAGTGAACAAATCCAGTATATCCAGTATAATGATATTTTTGCATAAATTTATCAGGTTGGTATTCAATCTTATCAGGTTCTTCAATTACTTGAAGTTCCTCATATTTAAAGGATCTTTTGGGGTTTTATCCTATTAAATGAGAAGTAGATTCGATAGGTTTATTCTCGAGATAATATAAGACTGGTTATGGTGGATTTCTTCCAATAATGACTCTTTAATCTTAAAGACACACAAGCTCCAATATGGATCAGTCACTCTACATCTATGGTCTCCTTCTAACTCACCTGCTTTTAATAGATATCTAACTGCTGTGCCATTTTGTAATTTTATATCCTCATATTTTCCTATTACACGCTTAGGTTTTTTAGAAGACTTTGATTCAACTTCTTCTAAAGTCATAACACAAGCTGGTGATATCCCAATAAGGTGAGTCTTACTATTATTCAGATAATCAATATATTTCTTAAGGATTCTTTTAAATATCTTTGATCGCTTCCCATCAGTTAATCGTCCCTCTATAGCATATTAGACCTTATATGTTAATTCTGCTATTCTTTTCTTATATTCTTTAATAAAGCCAAGCTTTCAAAACTATAAAGATCGACAACACATATTGGAACATTATATTGTTGCATTCCTGTGAAAATGCATCTCAGAACGAAGCATCACCATCAGTCATTAATAATTTTGGCCATGTAAGGGGGTTAGAAGGATTCTCATAGATATCTTTAATTGCAATCCAAATTTCTAAGCTATTTCTTGATGTTAGTAAGTGCCCTTCCTTAAAATGTATTGCCACATCGATAACTAGAAGAGTACAAACAAATACCCATCCACTATCTCTATCACGAATATAAATCAATATATCACACTGGTGAACTTGTTTGGAATTTTAATTTTTGAGAAACTGATCTCAGCTTTACATGGAAACGGGTATCAATAGATTTGATAGTTATATTGATATTTCAACCATTTTTGTAATATCCTGTAATCAAAAAAAATATCCTTTTTTTTGACACGTTTTATGTAATTTTTTCGCATTAGAGTGGAAACCGGGTATATTATAATATAGAAGCCTACAGATAAGAATTATCTCATCATATGGGTTTATTACAATCTGAGGTTGACTCATTCTTAAGACAAGATTATTACAATAGTACTATAAATTAGGATAAAATACCATGTATAATTCAGCATATTCACAGTATTTATATACGAACCAGAAGCTTCATAGTAAACTTCGAGATAAAGTTTCTTTTAATAAGAGTAATGAAAAAAAATTTTGATCTCTAGTAGTGTTCCGCAAAAAATCCGATTCAATCCGAATCCGATCCGGATCTGACAGATCGGATCGAATCAGATTTATCAGATTCGAATCAAATTTAGATCTGGATTTGGGTTTGATTCGATCCGTCGGATCTGGATCAGATTCGAATTCGGATTTGATTCAATCCGACGGATTTGGATTTGGATTCGGATCCAATCCGTCAGATTCGAATTTGGTTTCATATCCGATTTGTCGGATTTGAAATAAAAAATCTGTCCCGAAAGTTGGAGACGGCATTTATAATTAAAAAAATAAAGTTTTTTATTTTTTTAATAATAAAATGCCGCCTCT